ATCGATATTTTGGTAAATGCGAACATACATGAATACTGTGTGTATGTACATTTGAGAGTTTGCATATGTGTATGTCCAAATCAAGGAACCAACTTAGACCATTCGCCACTCGGGTTAGCAATTGCTGGAACACCTCCAAACAGCGGAAGTGGTTTGATGTCCAGGGTTTCCAAAAGGTCCAGGTGTTTGGGGCAAAACCTCAAGGCAAACAAGAGGTTATACCTTGAATAAGCTCGAAAACAGGGTCGGGGTTCTCTCAAAATTAACCCATGGGGGTATATGTGTGGTTGTCAAACGGGGGTGCTTTGTGGGCGTGCCTCAAAAAGGTGGCACAAGGCGGCACCATCCAAACATAGGGACCCCACCACATCTCGCCTCCGCGCCGCCAATGAAGAGCCAGTCCAAATCCTGCGGGAAAACGGCGAGACAGCCCGACTTGAAGGTATGGGGGACTCCATGACTCCTGGAAGGGCTTGATTATCATATGAACTCGCCGATTGAGATTGACGAAACAGAGCCTTCAACATGGGCGGAGTCGTTTTCTTGCGTCGCCCCCGTCACCAGCTCCGCCCAGTCACCTTGTTCGGAAGCTGGGGTCTGGTTGCAACCTGCAACCAAACCTGCCGGGCGAACTGCGAAAGTCAAGATCCCAGGTCCTCGTGCTTCACCTGGCCAGACTTGACCCAACCACAGCTGCACGCCAAGCAAACCAAACCTGGCTGCGACCAACCCGCCTGGCCCATCTTTTCGTCTTTGACGACTTTGGCCTTCTTCTCCTCGTCACACTTTTCGCGATAGACACGGTGGGACAAAATGCTCGATGAGACCCTATGAATGGCTGGCAAAGAAAATGAGCATGTCCAAACAAAAGGGACAACTGCACCAAACCCCGGCCCAAACTGTTCGACACGAGTGCGTTTGTGAGACGGTTTTGTGCAGTGTCCTTCTTCTCTTTCTTCTTCTTTTTGCCATCCTCGCCTGAGTCACGCAGTGGATGATTGGCTACAGGATTACTGTGTCCCCTTTTGGGGGAACCTCCGTTGCATGGTTTTGAAGGGGGCAGGCAAAAGGAAGCTGGCCAATCTGACAGAGTCTGAAGAGGAACCTCATATAAGAATCTTGGCATCCGCGCCATCCACGCCATCCACGCCATCCTTTGCCTCTTCACCGTCCTTGGCGCCCTCACCCTCTTTGGAGTCGTCGCCTGGGAATGGCCCAAATCACACGGGAAGATGGCTCTCCCTTTACAAGGACTAGAGTTGTAGAGAAAAGAAGGCAAAATTCCGCGCGAATCTCGGAAGACACGCTAGTGACTAGTGAGCACGTGAATAACCGGATCTGCTTTTCTCCTCATGTAACCAAGCTACCGCTCCTGGTGTAATGCCGATGCACCTTGTTGCAATGCGCACAGTCAAACTGTCTGTCTTGACGCTTGACCTCGATTCATCAGGAGGGTCCCAAAAACTAAGAGCAAGCTCCACTGGCAGGAGCTTCATGAGTGAGCCACGAAATTATGGATCAGCGCATACCATGCGTCCGAGCATATCCTCAAAACACTGGGGGGTTGCCTCACTGACACACACGAAGAGCACAAATTGGTTCCTCTCTGGGCATTCAATCCAACACGCCAAACCCCGAGCCTTCCTCTACTTCCGCCTCCTCCGCGGGTCCTGTTCATGTCTAAACCAACACGGTCCAAACGACATCTGCCCCGCTCCTCAGCTCAAGCCCATAAAGATATACTGTGAATCCTACGAAAAGCCAAGACACATGCCTCGACCTTTCAGACTACATGGGAGCGGGTCAAAATTAATCCACAAGAAAACCGCTGGTGTTTAGTCCTACCAGGTGGCAATTTCGGGTACAATTGTTGACCCACAGCCACATTGTGTTCTTGCTTCCCCTTTTGCTGGTGGTCAAAGTTTCGGTCACAACATGAAAGCCACCAAAGTCTGATCTTCGTGAACTGCGCACGAAGTGCCTCCAGGAAAAGAGTAGCATTTGGCATCCGTACCCGTGGCAAAAGCAAAGAAGCTGGTTTCAGTCGAATGAGACCTCTTGGGTGAAATGTGAAGAGTACAACCCACCTTGGGAGACCGGCGGAAATGAATGCGTTTCTTGGTGACATGTTGTACCACTCCGGGGCAAATCTTGGCTGAAGGTGCTGCAAACCCCTTTTTTCCGGGTCCTGGTGCTGGCTGCGCCTGGAACGAATCAATGAGGTTGCCTTGCGAATCGAGGGGTCCTTCTGCAAGTGAATGGCGCTTGTCTTTTACTGTAGCCTTGCAAAGGACACAACTCCGCATCAAAGCATGTGTATCTTGTCTAGGCCTTGGAATCAAGCTACTTCATCGAGTCATGTCAATCCTCGCTTGCCCAATGGCAAGCAGAAGGCGGACGATTGAGTCGATCACTCAAGGTGGACCAACGCTGAGGCACCAAGCGAAGTTGGGCTTTGGAGAAGTGAAGTGGGTGCTTCTCTAGATGGTTGGAAGCGATGAGCAAAACCACCATTTCAAGGGGAGTCGAGTTTTGAGAAACACAGAGTAGGCCAGTTGAAAAGCTTCAAGAGCACCATCATGAGCCCAGACGACATCGGTACCAATGTCATGACCATGTGTTTTCAAAAAGGCCGTGCAATGCCTGTAAAGCCGAGGAGCAAAAGTATCTTCAAGAAGATGTTTACAATCAACAAAATGCTCACAAACATGAAATCATTTGGAATTGTTTGGAACAACTCAGTCCACGCCTCCCCGTCTCCGTCTGTCATGCCGTCGAAGCTGTCCGGTCAAGCAAGATTCAATTCAAAGCTAAGCATCTGCCATGAACATGACCAAGAAATGTATGATGGAGTCTCAGTAAGCAAATAGCAAAGCTTCTTGACTCCACTTCAGATACGTCTCTTGTTTTACTTTGTTTCTGTACTTTTGAGCCAGCAGGGCCAAGCAAGCTGTCTCAGTTTGGTACCCTCGCCTAGCGATGTAGTCTTTAGCCCACAAAGCCTCTGCCGAAATATCTCCAGCGGCCTCCGGTCACTGAGGATCTGTGACTTTTTGGGAAGACCGCAGCCCTTGTACAGCACCCTCGAACTGAGAATTTCCGCACTCATTCAAGGTGCATGACGCAACTTTTCCCCGACTCAAGCATTCAAGCTTGAAGCGCTCCCCAACAGCCCATCAGTTGGGAATGTGCCAAAACTAGAAAGCACCAAAAAGTGATTGGTGTCATGTTGACTCACTTTCGAAACCGTTTCCTATTTTTTGCTATCTGTTTTTCCCGAAAGCATCGCGAAGGGCTCTTCCGTGCGGAGCCCTTGGACAAGTTACATAGAGCCAAGTTACATAGAGCCAAGTTACATAGAGCCAAGTTACATAGAGCCAAGTTACATAGAGCCAAGTTACATAGAGCCAAGGTGAGGAAGAGCTAGAGCTTCGGCGTTAGCAGCTATGTAAGTTAGTTTAGGTTTCTAAGGCGCCGGGGCGGGAGTTTGATCGTCGCTCGGGATTGCGACCCTCTGCGGAGATTCGCGTGGTCGAGGTCAAAAAACTAGGGGCTTTTTACGATTTTTAGCATGCCCGCGCGACCCTCTGCGGAGATTCGCGTGGTCGAGGTTCAAAAACTGAGGACTTTTTACGATTTCTGCTGGCCGCGCGCGACCCTCTGCGGAGATTCGCGTGGTCGAGGTTCAAAAACTGAGGACTTTTTACGATTTTTAGCATGCGCGCGCGACCCTCTGCGGAGATTCGCGTGGTCGAGGTTCAAAAACTGAGGACTTTTTACGATTTTTAGCATGCGCGCGCGACCCTCTGCGGAGATTCGCGTGGTCGAGGTTCAAAAACTGAGGACTTTTTACGATTTCTGCATGCGCGCGCGACCCTCTGCGGAGATCGTGCGCGTCGAAGCGCTCTCGCTGTGGCGCCGTGCGAATTTGTCTTAGTCTCGGCGAACCCTCTGCGGAGATTGTGCGTGTCGAAGCGCTCTCGCTGTGGCGCCGTGCAATATTCTTGCTCGCGAAACGGCCTTTGGAAGTTGTCTCGTGGTTTGCGCGCCTGCTTTCGCAATCCCGCGGTCGCGGGTTCGATTCCCCCCTGGTCCGCGGCAGCTCCGGCTTGAAAATCGCAGCTTTTAAGTACAAACGTAGTACGCGGAGCGTGCTCCTGCAGCTCCGGCTGGAAAATCGTAACTTTTAAGTACAGACGTAGTGTGCGGAGCGTGCTCCCGCAGCTCAGGCTGGAAAATCGCAACTTTTAAGTACAAACGTAGTACGCGGAGCACACCCCCGCAGCTCCGGCTTGAAAATCGCAACTTTTAAGTACAAACGTAGTACGCGGAGCGTGCTCCTGCAGCTCCGGGTGGAAAATCGCAATTTTTAAGTACAGACGTAGTATGCGGAGCGTGCTCCCGCAGCTCAGGCTGGAAAATCGCAACTTTTAAGTACAAACGTAGTACGCGGAGCACACCCCCGCAGCTCCGGCTGGAGAATCGCAACTTTTAAGTACAAACGTAGTACGCGGAGCACACCCGCGCAGCTCCGGCAGCACTTGCGCAGAGCAACTTGCGCAGAGTCACTTGCGCAGAGCAACTTGCGCAGAGCAACTTGCACAGAGCAATTGCACAAAGCACTTGCGCAGAGCAACTTGCACAGACCAACTTGCACAGAGCACATGCGCAAAGCGCTTGCACGGAGCAACTGGCGCAGAGCACTTGCGCAGAGCAACTTGCTCAGAGCACAGAGCACTTGCGCAGAGCAACTTGCACAGAGCACTTGCGCGCAGCAGCTTGCAGAGAGCAACTTGCGCGCAGCAGCCTGGAACAATGCAGCTTGCGCAGACCACTTTCGTGAGAAATCGCGCGGCGCAGTTTGAGAGGAAAGTAGGATGATGAGATGGAGCTCTCATGTGACCATACACACTGATCATTGCCGCGCGCAGACACGCTCGCCGCAGCGATGTAAAAAGGTGTCTCCGCGGCTGGATGAGCACCTGTGGAAAAATGCTTTCGGGCCAATCGTCCTCTAGTTAATCATTTTGACACCCCACCAACTGACAAGCTCGCTACAGCTAATTCAGCAGCGTTGAAGCACCTTGGAGCACCACATTTCAATCAGCAGCTTCGGCGCTTTCTCTTCTTTGGTGATGGCCCAAGTGCATCAAAGACCTGGCCGGCAAGTCCAGCCTGCATGTCTATGTTGGCATGCTTGGGAACATTCGCATTCATCCATCACAACATATTTATATATTGTGTGTACATTCAGGGAAATTCACGCGCAAGTATGCAGGTACATCCACTACATACACAAACACATGACATGGCCGTGACTCACATTTTAAACCCTGCAGCTTCTGCTTCTGACTGGCGCCTTGCCTTCTGGAGCCCGCTGGTGATCCCGGCGCGCTCTGCATCTGATGCGGTCAGCCAGATGAGCTCCCGTTCCTCCAAGAACCCTCGAACGCCCAGTACAAGTGACATCAAGTGCTTTACCAAACTGTGGAAAAAGGGGAAACCTCCCTGACACCCTGAGTGAGAACACCCACAACATGCTCATTTTCAGGCAAGCGGAAAAGAGTGCGGTTTCCCTTTGATTTCCTTTCAAGCCAACAAGAGTACCCCCAAACAACGACACACCCAACCAGGCCTATTGCCACGTGACCATTGCTGAAACCGCCAGCATTCCTGCTAATGGCACCAATCAGAAAACACTGGAGAACACCCCAGTCAGAGAACTCAAGCACAGCCTCGGAACAGGGCATTCCGAATTCCGGTGCGTTTTCTTCCGGCAAACGGCCTCCTGGCTGGCGGGCTTCTTCTCCAGGTGACCCTGGAAGACGTGCATCACATGGCGCTCGTGGGAGAAGAGATGCTCCAAAGCCCCAGCTCTCGGCTCCAGATCCACCTCCAGCCCAAACGACGCCAGCAGCGCCTGCAGCTGCGAAGCACCGGAGGCAAGGTCCGCCTCAGCAAAACGCGGAACGCGGACCGGTCGCTGGAGCCCAAAGCGATTTCTGGCTCCTCCAAAAGCGAACAAACAGAACCACCCCCTCGCCTCGGCTAGCTCCAGACAAGGGAACTGCAGCTGGTTCGCAAGCAGCCCCCGCGCCGGCCGCCGCACCAACACCCACTCCTACCGCAATTGGATTTGATTTCGATGAGCTTCGGTTTGGCATCCGATCGGCACTTTGAAACGGCCGGCCGGGGTGATTCTCTGGCCACAGATTGGAGCGAGAGAAACATGTCGATGTATCTCGCTTTGCTCTTCATGGCCCACTGGCCGCTATCCTTGGCACCATCTTTCGATATGACTTCCGATGGCTCAGCCCGCGCCTCCCCACAGCTGACCGCCGCCAGAGCGAGCACTCGCTCCCGGCGCGGCTTCTTCAAAGCCTTGCCGGGGAAGATCGTGACCGAAGCCACCTGAGCCAAAACGGGGGGCCACCAGGGAAGGGCGGCTGTTTATGGTTAGAACTCGACCTTACCCCAGCTCCCATCATTTGGCCGAAGGGGAACAAAAAGAAACATGGCAACCAACCCAAAGAGTTCAAGCCTTCAGGCGCCACGAGTCCCAAACCATCTCTATAGTTTCCACCCCCAAGAGGCTTGCGGGATATCCAAGCACTTGTTCTAGCCATACAAAGGGTGTATACCCCCCCTTCACTTACCTGGGTTTTGATTGTGGCTCATCTGAGCAAGAGATTACCCTCACCAAAATATCGTCACTTTGAGGTGCTGCGACATATGCCTTTCCTTGCGACAATTGTGGAATGCCGCCGAGATCAGGTTCATTCTGTTTAGCCTGCGCAACAACTCGTTCTCTCTTTGTTTTCAGAATTATGAGGCTGTCACGGCTTGCATATCCTCTCTCCTCCACAAGAAAAAAAGGCGCACCACACCTCCGCCCTCCGCGCTCTTCTCTACCTCCCCTCCCCGCCTCCCCGGCCACCATGCGTTGGTGCGCGCGGCACATGGGCCGCACCGGGCACTGCTGACAGGAGGGCGATGAGGGGGTGCAGATCAAAGCGCCCAGCTCCATGAGGGCCTGGTTGAAGGCACCTCAATGAGACTCGGCTGACGCATCTGACGCATCAGTCCGTACCGTTCGCTAGTGACCTGAAGCTCGGCGAAGGGCTGAAACGAGAAGGATGGTATGACCGAAAGGGGATCAAATCTGAACCGTGGAAAAAAGCGCCCTGTACCGGATGGATGCTCCCATCAGTGCTGTGGAGAAGTCGCATTAAATCCGCTCCACGCAATGTTCAAAAACAACCCTTTGTGGCAGCCATCTTGGCCCAGATCGGCCACGCTTATGGGCGGTTCGCTCTTATGGGCGGTTACGCAGCCTGAGAAGTATGAGGTGCGGTCTCTGAAGCCGCAAGGGGGGCCCTCCTCAAACTTCCCCATGCATGCCATCGGTTTGTGTCAAAATAGGTTCGGAACTCAAAATGTGTTTCCCTTTTGTTGCCCGACAACGACACCTATGTTATGGATGGCAATGATGGCTTACAGCAAGCAGACATGATTGCTAAAGAACCCTGACTCGTGTGCCGCGATGAATCAGAGGGTGACCTTTCAGCAAGAGCTTTCTGTCTTTGTAGGGAAACCCTCTGGCCAACCGGGTCAACTCGAGAAAGAACCAAGACCAAGAAAATAAGCGAGAAACGCCGGGTTGCTTCTGCCCAACAGCCCAACCCCCTAAATTCCCGGCCTGGGTCCTCCGGATCCACCAGCTCCTCTGCCAGCTCCCAGCAGACTTTTTGGAGCTTTGCAGACTTGGCCGGCGCCCCCAGCCCGCCCTGGGCCATGGAGGGGCCTTTTGAGAAACACCCAGCGCTGGTGTCGGATTCGTTCCAATGACAGTATTGCAACCCTGAACTAAACTCGAAATGGACAAAGATTGGTTCAAACGGGCATGTGCCACAATAGGTAGGACTCCAACATGTTGTCTTGCCTTCTGGCTTGCCTTTGAAACCGGGCCCCCAAAACGGGCACCGTTTTGGAAAAGACAAAAGTTCTTGTAAAGTGGGCACCTGCAGGCGGCTGAAGACCCGCTCCACGTTCCCATCCACCACAGGCGCCCGGAGGCCCAGCGCGATGGAGGCGATGGCCCCGGCCGTGTATGGACCAACCCCGGGGATGCCGCGCAGGGCCTCCAACGTCTGGGGCAACTCGCCTGGGGAAAAACGTCTTGGACGCAGCGGGCCCCAGCGCACCGAATTTTGTTGTCACTGTTCGAATCGCCGAAAACCTGGAAGAATCGGGTGCTACTTGTATTTCCCCATGTTGACTTGTTCAGGGATGTGTGGTTCGAACGAATTTTAGAAAGCAAAAAAGCTTGGTGGCTGTTTGCCAAAACAAAACGATGGAGAAAAAGCCGCGGATCAACCTGTGGAACACTACGATGGTGTTTTGGAAAATGATGTGCGCGGCCACAATCATCGGCAAAACAATGAAGCACATCAAAATGCTCAACGAACCGACAGCCAAGTCACCGTCATGTTTTTCCAATAGGTACTTGGCACCCTCATGCAACCTTCTGGCACGCCCGTAAAATCCTAAGCCGGCCCAAACTGCATTTACCTCATCTGCAGACGCAGCTGCCAATGCGGGCACAGAAGGAAACGATCGCATCCATGTAGTCCAATAATCGATCACCACCTCAACTTGTGTTTGTTGAAGCATCACCTCTGAAATCCAAACCCCATACGCAGAGCGATGAAAACATTGTTCTTCCTTCTGCGTGTCTTCTTCGTCCAAATCAATCACCGCAGGCCGACACGCAGAATTCAGCTTCCCGAAAACACCGGGAAGCGTTCTTTGAATTTGATGTTTGCCTTGCTTCGATGGTCTTGCCTTGCTCCTGGTCCATGGTGAAGGATCACCTCTCCATGGCAATTTGCGCCGGTGATTCAAGTACCACCGTAACAAAGCGGCACGGATGGGCACCTCACGTTCATGCCAGCCAACGTTCGCCGCAGCTTCCTCAATGTCAAGTACTTGATTTGGGTCCTTTTGCACAGGTGGCCTTGTGCAAGTCGAAGCCATTCGATTTTGCTACCATTGCTGCACCGTCTGCTGTGCCTACACGCAAACTAGCTCATACCGACATGGCAATCCTGACAAAACGCGTCACATGAAAAAACACGGGCCACTCAAACAGAAATCAAGAGCCTGAATCCAACTGGCACGTCGCATGATTATAACGCCGTCCGCTTCTTGATTTGCACTAGCCACACAAGCATTTGCAGAATTACACCAACACAATGCAAACATACAATTCATGCAAATCATGACAAAGGATATTGACCTTCGTACATGCTGGAAAACGGTCAGCAAGCCATAGACATTGCGGCGAATGTTGGCATCGATGGGGCAACGCGTGTGAATATCAACACAACGTTCACCAACCGAAACACAAGCCTCAAACGCGACACTGCCAATAAAAAGCGAAACACGCTGCCTGATCTAGAAACAGGCAACAACAAAAACACGGCGGAAACAAGGGAGGGTCAACCCGGGAACCCAAAAACGTGTTTCCTGTGATGCATCTGCTGCAATGCGTTCAATGTTCCTGCGATGTTCCTTTGAACTACAATTTAAATGGTTGCAGCATGCAGGAACAACAAAAAAGGCAAAACATGAACTAAAAAAACATGGAACTGAACAGTTCCTTAAGGCACATACTGCAACGACAAAGTCTAGACTGCACAAATTTCCTGAACACGTCCAACAAAATGTGAATAGTAGCGACCCTTTTTTGAGCAAGTGTGCCACGCACGACGGGCACGGCCCGTGGCACAACATCCTGCTGCAGCTTCCCACCTTTTTCTGCATTTTCTGCGCGACCTGTCAAGCACCGCAAGAAACAAGACTGGACTGGACAAGGCTGTCAATTGTTTTTTGTTCAAGACGCACAGTTGCGTGGTGCCAAACAATGAACGATAAATTCGGACAGGGGCTGCTGCAGTTCATGTTGCGGTTTTGCGATGAGCGGATCGTTTTGCTGTTCCACACGGCCGTTTGTGTCAGGAAAACAAAAAGCCAAGGAAAGTCACACCGAAACCAAAACACAGAACTAAACCACAAAACAAAACACAGACGTTCTTTCCCCATGTCGCTTTCAGCAAAGTCACCGGTCGACTAAACGGAGAGTCCTCGTGCTAGTAAACAAAAAACGTTTCAAAGAAGCAACAGGCAAACAAATTCCCTAATGACCCCGCAGTCAGTCTTAGGACAGAACACAAGGCCGTACGCCTGCGCCCCACGCAAACGGAAGTAGCAACTTTTTGCTTGCGAAGGACAAGACGATCTTGCAAAAGGCCAAGCCGAGAACAGCAGTTTACCTTATCTTGCTATGTCGAAGTTGCTTGACAGTTACCTCATCCATCGATCTGCAACTGAGCTTCAAAAGCTTCTCTTGGAAGACAATGTAGTTGTCCTCCCGGATTTCAAGGAACTATTCACGTTGCTTGTGCGAAGTGTGCAGACAGGGGATGTTGATCACACCTCTCGGGCATCTCAATGTATTGACCATGCGCCGAAGCAGAGACGGAGAAAGGGCAAGGCGCGATGCACCTTTTGTCGGACGCTGGTCCGCGTTTGCGGTCCTATCATCAAGCTTGAGTGTGCGAAGCATTTCAAAAGTGAGGCAGACAGGCCATTCGCCCTGTTTGAACAGTACGTGAAGGACGCTCGAAATGAGATTCCCGACCTGCTGTTGGAATCATGATGTCGTTAAGACCTGTTGCACTGCTCCTAGCTTGAACCCAAACAACCCTCACAAAAGAGAAAAGCGAGAAAAGCGCGCATTCCTTTTGAACCGGGTTGGTGGAAAGTGCACGGGGGCATGTTCACCCCTGTTAAACGTATTGAAAGAGCCAGACATGCGTGTCCTGGCACGCTGCAGTGCATAAGCACGGCGTGGCATGCGTGCCCACGCATAAATCAGCGGACAGCGGTCCGTGATTCGTAAGAGCGTACCGCGGGCACTGCCCTCAACAGCTGAACGTTAAAGGTCCCGCGCACTGCTCCTAGCCTCAAACCACAAAGAACCCTGAACCCAAAAGCCGACAGCAAGGCGCACACCTTTTTACCGGGTTGCTTGGGAAGGTGGCACTTTCCTAGGGCACTGCGGTGCACCTAGGACAAGGGGCGAGATGTTCCCCCCCCTTGTGGAAAACAAGGTTGCAAGACAAGCGTGCCCTTGCATTAAAAATGCCAGACGGGGGCCATAACACCCGCGTCAACGGACCTGCGGGTCCAGAGACGCCCACAGGGCCAGACCGCGGGTCCGGGCCCTGGTATGAAGCTGAGAGTGCGCTCCCAGTTCATGTCCGGAGGGCTCCCGGGGAGGGCCGTCCGGAAGGCCTAAGCGAGCTTAGGGCTTAGAAGGGTCGGGTGGGTGGGCTTCTCACGTTTGAGGGCTAGGAGCACCAAATGGCGGCGGCGTAGGAGATTCACCCCCGACCTATAAACACAAGGGAAAAGAAAACCCTTAGCGTTAAAGGTCCCGCGCACTGCTCCTAGCCTCAAACCACAAAGAACCCTAAACCCAAAAGCCGACAGCAAGGCGCACACCTTTTTACTGGGTTGCTTGGGAAGGTGGCACTTTCCTAGGGCACTGCGGTGCACCTAGGACAAGGGGCGAGATGTTCCCCTCCTTCAGCGCTTCCCAAGGCAACCCCGGTAACAGGCGATTAAGGTCCAGGCGCAAAAGTCCCCCTCTTCAGTGCGGGGTTGCACCTGCGGCGGGACATGAACGGCCGGGTCTTCAGCAGCCCGGTGGCCGGGTTCTCAACAACCCACATGAGGGGGTCAAAGTGCGCAATGATCTCAAGGGCGCTGAGCACCAGCACGTCGCCCTCCAGGAGCCGTTGCGGGCGCGTCGTCAGCGGCTGTCTTCCACGCAGACCGGGCTGGCCCAAACCATGTCGAAGTGCCCCGGAAACGTCGTGTAGTTTCAGCTCCGGATGTCGCAAGGATCGTGGGCTTAAATTTCGACACGATGTCCAGCGAGACGACCTTCCAGCCAAAGGCCCTGCCCACCGACTTGGCGCCGCAGAAAAGCTTCAGGAGTCTCGGCATTTTTAAAGAGCAAGATCACCGCCAGTGCGACGACCAAGAAAACTTGCGCGTTCATCGGACCGGACATTTTTCTCCGCGGGATAAAAAGCCGAACTTCGCAACCATGAAGCTTGCACTTGGGCTGGACGTTCAGACCAATGCCAAGGGGGGGAAATTCATGTCCATAGAGAACTCCCATCAGGGCGTGGTGGTGCGCAAGGTCAACGTGGAGGTGCTGTGGACGACGGAGCCAAGAGGGTCTTTGCAACTAACACCGACCTGAAGCTGTGGACAGAGAAGGTGGAGCAGGGCGTTATCGACAACATGATCATCTGTCAGAAGCCTTTTTGGGCGCCGCCCGCGCCGAGCTTGAGAGCCAGTTTCAGCGCGCCGTCAAGGTGAGCGCAAGGGCAAGCACGTCAAGCGCAAGATCAACTTGGAGCGCTGCCTCTCTGGGCCTCCAGCAACGTGCGCTGCGTCCCGCAGAGTTCTTGCGTCGCAAAGGCTGCGCGCTTGTAGAGGTCCGGCACGTGTGGCTGATGGCTCTTCAAGGTGCGCCACTTATGCTGGAGGTTGTAGAGGCGCTGCGCTGCCCGTTTGGCTAGGCTGCCTTCAGCAGGTTAAGACGCCCACGTACAGACTCCAAGTCAGACGGACGCGGCCCTAGCAGCTGGTGTAGGTACGTGGCTTGGCCCGCAGCAGCTTCTGGAAAACACGCTGTTGTCCAGCCTTACTCCGTCTCCACTTCCACCACGGCCACAGACTCCTTTTAAGTGTTTTTACCGGCCCGATAATAAGACGCAGTCCCGGCCACACTCTTAGCTCTGCAACTGTTTTGGAGCGTTACCAATTTGTAACACCCATGGTTGATTAACAAGAACTCAAATTTAGTGGATGACCGCTGCGTTGACGGCCATCGCTTGCTGTGGCTAGTGAGAGTAGTATGGAAAGGCAGCTTATAGTCCCCTATTAATTTTCGTTTTTTGGCCAAAAAACCCACCAAAACTGCATAATTTTCAACCAGCTGAACTCGTCACCAGCGATGTCACCGCTTCGTCACCGCTCCGTTTTTGGTGCACAAAGCGCTGAAAACGGCGAACTCCGAAAAGTTCGTTTTTTCGTGTCAGGCGTCAAATGTGCTGCCTGAGCCACCAAATTCGCTCGTTTTCGGTCGAAATCGGGCTCCAGACGTTCGCCGTCCTCCGGAGTCCGTTTTCTGCCTGGAAAAGCCTGCAAATTCCAGCCCGCTGAGCTCGTCACGTCCGGCAGCCCGCCGAGGAGGTCCGTCAGCCCGCCGAGCTTGTCACCGCTGATGTCACCGCTGATGTCCGTTTTTGGTGCAAAAAACGCTCAAAACGGTCGAGTCCGAAGGCAAGTGGGATGCCTGAGCCTCAAGTTTCGCTCGCTTTCGGTCGAAAGCAGGCTCCAGAGGCTCACATTGCTCAGGATTCCGCTTTCGGCCCGGAAAACTGGCGAATTCCAGCCCGCCGAGGTTGTCACCGTTTGTCACCGCTTCGTCACCGCTTCGTCACCGCTCTCTTTGGGGCCGAAAAGTGCGCAAAAGCGGTTCCCGAGATGGCAGTCTGCAGCGGAACTCCACGCGGGCAGCAACCAAAAAATGGTTGGTGCCTGTAGCCAGTTCTGCAGCCCTCTTATCCGCCGCCTGGGGCCTGGTGCGGGCCTGGTGCGGGCCTGGCGCGGGCCTGGTGCGGGCCTGGTGCCCCACTCAATCCTGTCGTGAGCACAGGATTGCCCCGATGCACTACCAGCAGCTCGGGCTTGGAGCTGTTCTTGCCCGAGCACAGGGCCATGATGGAGTCGGCCCCGCTGTAGAGCTCCCTGGCCTCAGGCACGTCGTTGATGCTGAGGACGAAGGGCAGGCCGCTTGCGAAGAGTGCGTCTCGGAGCTCCGAGTGGAAGGCCATGTCATGTCCCCGCTTTCTTGTGCCATAGTAGTTCATGCTGCGACCTGGGAAGATGTAGGGAGGATCGGCATAGATATGCCGCGGCGCCAGACGACCCTCTCGCGCTTCCCCTGCATGAGTCGAGGCCCCCCTCAGATGCCTCCCGTCTTCCCACG